ATCTAACTGCGTAGCAGAAGCTAACTAGAAAACGAAAAATGATTTTAAATTTAAAACAGAGGAAGTAATAAAGAATTAAATAAATGGCCAAAAAGTTAAGTGAGATTAGTCAACATGATTTACTATTGAGACAAGCATATGCATATGGCCCATATGAAGGCTACCTTAAGTCGCATAGATTACTAGTGTCACTAGTACCTCCAAGCTAGTGGAACGTTGGATTACGAAGGCTACGATGATGTTTCTAGCTAGTCAAGATCGTCCGAGATTGCCACCACCGACACACGCTGAGACACATCTTCAATTTGCTGAAGAAATATTCGTCCATCTTCAATTTCAAAGCTCTAGGACTCGTAATACAATAGGTTACATGGTTTTAGATTCAATCGTGTGCGCATAGAATTCAACGCGGAGTAGTAAAACGCTGGCGTACAGTACGCATGGTTGTGGTTCTGGCTGCCTCGAGCTCGTGCATCTCCATCGCCCTTGATGGCATTTAATTTGATTTATTTGCCAGCACAAGTTGGAGGAAATTAAAAGAAACAACAAGAGCGATGGTTTATGCGACTGCTGCTGTTGTTGATGCTAATTTATTAAGAAAAAAAATATTATTCCATAACTGAAAAATAATGACCGATAAACTCAAACGAACCGAGCCCACCAGCACCGTCCATCGTCGATCAGAAAGCGCACCGCACTAGACAGGCCGGACAGCGGCAGAAGCGGAGCCCATGGTGGGCCCCACATGAGTCGGGAGTCACGGGCGCCGCGTGCGCGTACGGAGAGCTTGGGGTGGTGGATGACCGGTCGCGGTCCGCGCTCAACGCGTCCCCGTTCCGTACAAGGGGTGCTACGGAACCGCACGGAAGTGTACGGCCGTCGAATTTGGGTAGGAGTAGAGGAGCCAACCACCGTGGACGACACTGGAGAGTGGACTAGTAGACGCATTTACACTCTGTAGGCATGGGAGCAGTACAGTGCTCCGATCCAACTCTCTCTCGTGTTAATCAAAAGCCCCAATCCAAATAAGAGTTCTTCGGGTGGTAAGTCTATTTAGGTGGCTACCAAAACAAATTGACCCGACGCTCACACACATCGTGGGCCTTTTAAAATTTGATTGATGATGATCCAATTACACAATCTGGCTACAGTATAGAAATGGCAAAGGAACAAAGCTTGCACCCTTTTTCTCTCTCTCTCAAATTTTGATCGATGATGATCCAAGTACACCTGTTGTTTGTTGAAGCTCTGCTCGGCTCCAGCTTCTCTGTGCACAGTAGCATAGAGTTATTTTTATCTTTTAGAAAAAAAAATAAACTAGAAGCGGGTGAAGTCATTATTTTGACTTTACATATGTGTATAATGACATTCGATCATCACTTTTTGTAGTTAATTGAAGACAAGAGAGTAGTAGTGATCGAATATGAGACGAGGTTCATGAGGACGAGGTTACAGGAGCTCCAAATAAAAGTAGCTTTGTTTCATTGTCACGGTACCTAATTTCCCCCAGCAAGGTGAGCTCCGTGCAAGCAAGAGGCAAAAGCCGACTCATCTGAAAGTTGAAACCAATAATCCTTTCTTTAACCTCCCTCGACGCAGCCAAAGATAATGAAAAGTGAAAGGGAACCCACCAAAATTAAGGCTTTGTTTAGATTGCAAATTTTTATAACCTGGACATCGTAACACGTTTCGTTTGTATTTGACAAACTTTGTCCGATCATGGACTAACTAGGCTCAAAAGATCAATCTCGTGATTTACAACAAAACTATGTAATTAGTTATTTTTTTTACCTACATTTAATGCCCCATGCATGCGTCCAAAAATTGATGTGATGGAAAGAGAGTGAAAAAACTTGGAATTTGGAGGTGATCTTAACAAGACCTAAAACAAAACCCAGAGAACGCAAAGCACAGTCACAACGCACTGTCGCACGCTCGCGCTTGCACATGGATGGTCTACTAGCTAGCTAGCTGGAGCACCTCACATGGATGGTCCACAGCTCCACGCCTGATGAAATGATGATGAAGCTGGCCTGTGCTGTTTTTCCGTACCAGAGGGACTACGGAAAGTGCACGGAAGAGCTGAGGTGTACGGCATGGACTCATGGAGTTTGGGTGCTCCTCCGTTTGGCGTTTGATGATGCGATCCTAGTGGATTCACAGATTCAGCAACTGCTTTAGGGTATGTTTGATGCATGTATATTAATCCTCAATCTCACGTATGTTGGAGTGGAATAGAATGTAATAGAATTTAGTTTAATTCCACTCCAATCCACTTCAACACATATAAATTAAGATGAATACATACATATCTAAACAAGACCGCTGAGCTTGGAGCGTGCACCGAAAGATCACTCCGATCCATCGAATCAAATAAAGTTATCCCTACAATAATCTTTACCCAAGGGAATGGATTCCAACACTGTACGTGCTGTTGAAGAGATCTCGTGCCTGAGTGCCATTTGTATAATTTATTCCCCTGTACACTTTGGCTGAAGTACGCTTTTGTGTGGCTAATAAAGAGATTCAACAGTTGATCGATCTGTTTTTTCTTGATCGTACCATAAATGGGACAGAACTTTATTTTATTTTTTTTGAAACACGGGATTCATTACTCGTTAGATACAGCAAGCTCGCTCGCTGGTCGCTAGGTCCTCAACAAATTGACGTACAATGAAGTCCCAAGTACATCACTTGCACCCTACACCCAAACGCCGTAATGGCATCTGCTACTTTATTACATGATCTCGAACACACGTTAATTTTGCTACCTACAAACTCCGTCATTAGCAACAACCGAAGTTTAGTAGTAATCCCGGCCGCTCATGGTCGACAGTCGGTAAGCATCGTCCTCTAGGGCCCCTTCTTTGTTAATTGAAAAACTCTACTTCACCCCTCAATTTTGATGGATGGCTACTTCACCCCCTCACCTATAAAACCAAGTATTCTACTCCTCAAACTATTGAAAACCGTCTAAATAATCCCCTAATGCGGTTTTAAAGGTGGTTTCACTAACTTGGCATATTAAAAGTCTACATAACCCCCTAACATATCAAGTGTCAACTACATAACCCCCTCAACTATAAAATATGATATTATAGCCCTTAAAGTATCCAATAATATTTAAATGACCCCTTTGATAGTCTTGTAGGTCCGTTTGGACACCGTATCCGTTTGGATATTTGCCTAAGTACCTATGCTCCACTTCCCATCTCTTTCTAGACTAACCCACCACCCAATGAGAAGCACGCGATATCTTTTCTCTTGCTCCACTTCTCGACACTCGTCGATGACATTGAGCTCAAGCACCATGCATACACCCTCATCATCTGGCCCCTCCCACATCCTCTATCAGACTGTCGTCGAGTGACAAGGGTGTAGGCGTAGTGCATGAACTCAATGCCGTCGAGGAGTGCCATGAGGTGTAGCAGGAGACAGGGTGATGCTCATCGGGCGTTCGTAATCCTAGAAAGAGTAGGGAGAGAGAGGCAACCAATGGACCTACGTGCAAGTATGCGTGCTTAGGCCAGTGTGGTGGGATACGATGTTCAAACGGTCCTACAAGACTATCACGGGGGCCATTTGAACATTATTAGATATACTTTAAGGGCTATAATATTTGTTTTTATAGTTGAGGGGTTATTTAGTCAACCCTTAATATGTTAGGGGCTTATGTAGACTTTTCAATATGCCACATCAGCAAAACCACTTTTAAAACCGCTTTAGGAGGTTATTTAGACGGTTTTCAATAGCTTAAGGGGTAGAATACCTGGTTTTATAGGTGAGAGGGTGAAGTAGACAACCACCAATAGTTTGGTGAGTTAAGTAGACTTTTTCTTTTGTTAATTATTGGAAGATGAATTAGTCTTTCAAACCCATGAAGCCTAATTGCTACTGTTACGCCCAGCTGTATGTACGATGCCAAATAAACAAGCTAGGGCACACCAAAGACATGGTAATGGAAATGGCCTTTTGATCTCTCTCGGAAAAGCTGTGGTGGTGTCAAAACTCCAAAGACAAAAGGAAGCAGATGAGATGGCCACTTGGCTAGACAGGCAATGCAAGGCAAAGTTGCTTGGTGGGATGAGACGATGGGGTCGGCAAAGTTTGGTGGGAAATCGGCATGCACCGGCCTTTCATTTGTACGGAGAATCTTATTTGCTCTCGATAGTCTACTACCTTTGTTTTTGTGCGCCGTTGGCCTTTGATTAATAATTGGAGTAGTTAATTAAAGTTTGCGGCCGCACTGGATTTCAGGAGCCGTTTCAGGCTTTCAGCACCACCGGCGGCTGGGCGTACGGTTCCTTGTACGGAATCCAAGCTAAGTCAAGCAAACTATGGGCATATTTAGTTTCCCAATTTTGCCAAAAGTTTTGGTGTTTTAGCCTATCTTTTTGCAAAATGGATCTAAACACCATGTACCCAAAACAACAAAAGTGGGGCTTCAAAAGTTTTGGCATTTGGGACCCAAGAGGCCCAAAACTTGTAAAAAATGTGTGAGGGGAGAGCCGGACTCCCACTACCCCTGCACCCACCCACCCTGCCGCTCGGACCCTATCTATTCCCCCGCAGTCACTCCCCATCGCTCTCGCTCTCTCCTCCACAAACCCCTAGCTCCGCCCGCCCTCTCGCCTCAAGATGCCTCCTCGGCCCACGCCACTTCCCACTCTTGCTTTGAGCCTTCGCGGCCGACCAGATCCAGCTCCTCCTCCACGGCCCCCAGATCCAGCTCCTCCTCCTCAGGCCCCAGATACAGCTCTTCCTACGCCGCCGCCCTGAGCCAGGTCCTCCTCCCCGGTCTCGCTGATGGACGTCTACAACGTTGATGGCTACGGCGGTGGCAACGGTGACGGCAACGACGATGGCTACGGCGATGGCGACCGCACTAGGGACTTCTTCTCCCAACCTAATCCATTCTCCCCCACCGGCGCTATGAGAACATCAACGACGCGACTTATCCCTTTTTGGGCTCGAGCAGCGTTAATGCTCCCTGGGCGGGCATGGCGGCGCTCGACTTCAACTCCCATGGACAAGAGTGGTCCGAAATGGCGGGCTATGAAGACCTCCTTCGCTCTCGGCCGCAAGGTGGGGGCACCGACGACGGCATGGGTCCCCCTCCCGTTCGCGTTCGCAGTGGCAGTTGTACTCTCGGCTTACGCGCGGCTCGCAGTGGTGGTGGAGGAGGCGCCACGGCCGCTCGTGCCTTGTCGTCATCCTCCGGTGATGGCTGTGGACCTTCATTGCCTCCTATGACCGTCGGCATGCGTGCTTCGCCTGGATCTACATCCAGCGCTCCTGCTAGATCCAGGAGCCGCGGTGGACGTCGACGACCTTCGAGTACAACTGTTGCGGAAGACAACTTCGATGTCAACAACCCTTTGGATGCTGATGACGACGAGATCTTTCCAAACGCTGCAATCCTTGTAATTTTTCAGAACCCTACACAGTTTGGTTTCAGTTTGATTGTTACCGCCTTCGTAATATATGTTCGTATTCTTGTTATGCATCATTTAGGATAGAGTCAACAGGGGAATTGGTTAGAAGAAAATACAGGCAAACTGTGTGAGATTTGGGTTGACCAAATCACTAATGGTAACTGTGTGAATGATGTCATGAACAAGTCAGGGATGAGGGAGGTCATAGCAAGGTACTATGTTGCAACAAATTTGGTTCATGATAGAACCTAGATTATTAATAGGATTAGGCAATTGAAGGGATATTAGCAATTCATACAAAGACTGCGCAATGACACTGGCTTAGGCCATAGATATGATGGACTGTTGATGCCACTGAAAAATGGTTGGAAGACAACACTAAGGTAATTGCCAATATCCCTGTTTCCTGTTTATGTCTAGAAATCTCTTCCCTTGCTCACTAAAATAAGCTCTGCAGGGCCACCCAGACTATAAGAAATGCAAGAATGAGTGGCCAGGTTACATCAATGAACTGGACCAAATGTTCCATGGTGTAGCTGTTGATGGCTCCACCTCATTTGTTCCTGGAGGAAGTGTCACTGTGGATGAGGAAGAGGAGGAGGAGCCACCTGAGGACCTTGATGTGCAGACCCCAGTTAGCATCACTAGCAACAAGAGAGCAAGCAGCACAAGCACCACTGACTCTAGTCCAAGCAAGAAGTCCAAGAGCCCATCAGTTAGGAGCATGGGCAGGTTCATACTTGAGAATGCCAGGATTCAAGTAGAGAGGAATGTGATGTTCCAGAGACATTTGAAAAACAAACAGCAGGTTGCCTATCAGCTTGCCCAGCAGAAAGAGGCTGCCAGAGTAGAAAAGATTAGGTATGTGCAACAGTTGGCTAGAGAGTGTGGTGTAGATGAAGAAAACAAGCAGTTGTGGTATAATGTATTCCAGATCACCAAAGATGATGACAGCATGGAGTTCTTCATTAGAACATCTACACCTCATGGAAGGATGGGCTTCATTGAGAACTATGGGGTCAACAACTAGATCCTCTTTTCTTATCTATGTCTGTCATTTGAACAATTCATGTCCGTTATTGTACTTGAACTATGTCTGTTGTTGTACTTGAACTATGTTAGTTGAACTGTGACTGTTGGACAATTCATGTTATTTGAACTATGTTAGTTGAACAATTCATATCATTTGCACTATGACTTTGATGTGAGCTTGTCATGCATGATCAATTTTTGTACTGCCATATATAATTGAGATTGTTATGCATTTATGTGTCAGGATGCTAATGCAGCGAGGGATGAGGACAATTATAATGGAGATAGTGATGAGGATATCTACAAAATGCTTCTTGACGATGATGACAACGATCTTATCTACGGTATGTATCAGTATGCTATTTACATTGATAAATACTATAATAGGGCTGAGTGGAGGCAACCATTGCTAACTGGACTAGAATGGGTAGAGAGAAAGCTAGGAGATAGAAATAGCTGCTACAACATGTTTAGAATGAGCCATACTATATTCCATCGACTTCATGATGTGCTGGTTGAGTCATATGGCCTAAATTCTAGTACTAAGAGTGCCTCTGTTGAAGCTTTAGGAATGTTCCTTTGGATACTTGGAGCACCACAATCAGTTAGGCAAGCTGAGGATAGATTTGAGAGATCACTAGGAATAGTTCACAACAACTTTGAGAAAGTTTTGCAGTGTGTGGTTAAGCTAGCTTCAAACATCATTAAACCAGTAGACCCTGAGTTCAGAACAATTCATCCTAGGTTGACAAACCCTAGGTTCCATCCATTCTTTAACAATTGTATAGGAGCAATAGATGGCACTCACATACCATGTGTGGTGCTAAGAGATAGGCTCGTTCAGCACATGTGCCACAAGAGCATGACAACACAAAATGTGATGGCAGTTTGTGACTTTGACGTGAGGTTCACATTTGTTCTTTTATAGTTGAGGACAATTGGGATGGCCTAGTTCAATAATACATGACATGAGAGTGTTCAATGATGCTCATCAACCAAGTATAGCCATGTCTTTCCACATCCACCCACAGTAAACACCTTGCTTCTATTGCATTTGCAGCTTCTAGTTCTAGTTGAATTAGTTCAGTCTTCTATTCATATGAATCTTACAAAATTGATCCATTGTGTAGAAAAATTTTACTTGGTGGACTTCGAAGTTAAACAGTTTGAGCTACTCAATCGATCGGGTTACCTTGTTTGCCTATAAATGCTAAGGAACCTAGTACCATCTTCCTTTCCTGGATGGAAGGGTTGATCCAAACTGATCCGATAGTCCGAGGAGCCACAAGGGCTAAAAAAGATCTTCAACTACTCACATTTATCTCTTAGAAATGTCATCGAGAGGTCGTTTGGAGTTTTGAAGATGAAGTGGAGGATTTTGTTGCAAATGCTAAGTTATGCACCTCATAAGCAAAGCCAAATAATTGTTGCATGCATGGCACTACATAACTTTGCCATCGTTAGAAAGGAGTAGAATAGTGGATAGGGATTGTGATCGGTGTGACCGTGATGAGAACTATGTTCCACCTTAAGCATCCTACTCTCAGCCACGTACTAGTCAAACATCGGCAAGGGATGAATCTGTGATGATGAATGCTTTCCATGACTCGATTGCCCTTGGTTTGTTAAATAGATCATGACAATTCAATCAATTAATGAGGAACGTACCTTGCCAAACCTCTAACTGGTCTTAAAAATTGCATAAAAAAAAATTAGAATGTGAGCTCGAAATATAACATGTGTTTTGTTTTTTATAGTTGAGGACAATTGAATTGTGTACTTGATATATTTAATAATTGTGTAATAAAGTGTAATTTTTATGGTTCCTTAACAATGCATGGTGCATGGCATCAAAGTGAGAAGTCAATGACATGCATGCGTGCCTTTTTTTAAACTATGTGTTACTAGGAAATTAAGGTGAGTAGCTCACCGAGCAACTCGGGATAACGACTAGCACAAGGGCACTAGTTCACAATTAATATGCTATATGTCATGAACATGCATGAGTGTGCATGTCATTTGTAATTAATGAAGTAAATCAACCATTAAATGGGGGCAAATCAGTCTTCTATTCATATGGTGCTAAAGTTTTACTATGGATCTAAACACCTAAGCCTAAAGTTAGAATGCCAAAACTTTTGCACCAAAAGATTTGGTGCCAAAACTTTTGGCATGGCTGTTGCATCTAAACACCCCTATATCAATTCCCTGGTACTCCCTCCATCCATGAAACAATACAATTCTCGTTTTTCGAGAAATCAAACAGTTTGAGTTTTGACTAAATTTATATTAAAAGCTACTCTCATTTATGATATAAAATAATTACCATTAGATTAGTTATTATAGAATATTTTTCATAATAAATTTTGTTTGAAGACATAAATGCTAATATTATTAACTATAAACTTGGTCAAACTTGAGTTACTTTAATTGGCACGGATCCCGTAATTACATTCTTTCCTGGACGGAGGGGTTGATCCAAACAGATCCGAAGTCTTCATGCTCATCTTCATAAGACGGGCTAAAATAAACCCTACTCCTGACATCAATTCGACAAGGGCCCTGTTCGCTTCGCTGAAATTTGTTAGGGTGTTGGTTTCACCCAAAGTATTATGAAAGTGCAGTAGTCTTTACATGCAGATGGCCAGATGGATATGTATGGGCAGCTGGTGCATTCTTCTTACCGAGATGACAACATGTCAATTCAACGGTACCAGTACCATCCAAGATCCAGGAGCATGTTGCATGCCGCTGTATCTGTTGGTATACAAGTGCCAACGTCGTCGTTGGTTTGGTAACCAAATCGTGATTTCAGAGTAGAGTATACTCCTATATTGGTATTAGTAAACCTGTCTCCGCGGGACATATAAATGCATACGTACATTAGGATTTATGACATTTTTTTTTTGAGATGAAGGATTTATGACGAGTAGGCCCGTCACATTTTGCCATGTGCGCGGTCTGGGCAGCGGTACATATACGGTATGATTAAAACCTTCTCACCTCTCAAGACAAGTTTTGAGACATAAAAAGAAGAAGAAGCAGAGGACAGAGCCCAGGGAGGGAATTGAAACAATGAGCTGACCAAGAACTCACTCCACCAGCAGCACTTGCACCTTCTGGGCCTGTTGGGCTGCTTGTTACAGAATCCACTCCATACTACTGACTTCCAGTAGTAACGGTACTATGGAACTCATTACGGTTGGGCCGGTTCATGGGCTTGCAACTTTTGTCCGGCCCGGGAAAAGAACCTGCTGCTCTTTTACCAGTTTCTGTTTTGCTCACATCTTCGTCAAATGTGTACGTGCGCTTGATATTTCTGGGTTCTTGCCTTATTGTAACGGAAGCTTGCTCCGTTGTGCTGTCAGCAGCTGTAGCCCGTGGCGTGGCGTGGCGTGCCTGGAAAGAGCTGAGCTGTCGCCTCCGCATCTCGGCATCTCCACTTCGCCGTTGGCAGAAGCACCACTGCACTGCACCAGCACCCCTCCCCTTCCACACCGCCGCTCCCATCTCTTTCTTCGCTTCCTCCTCCACCACGCTGCCCCTCCGTCTCCGTACACCCGACCCAATCGCGGAATCGCCTCCTCATCGCGCCGCTCCGACCGCATTGCCCGAAGCCTCCAGGGCTGCCGGGGCGGCATGCAGCCGCCTCCGCCGCGGCGGGATGGACCGTCGAGGACGACGTCCTCCTGAAGAACGCCATCGAGGTAATCTACGCCGCACTACCGGACCCGATCATTATCCCCCCTTCGATACCCCCGCAAAGTAAAGTACCCCGGAACGCTCCGTCCGATCGAGCGCGCCCTGTTCCTGCCGGCGCGGAATTCCGGTGCTGCTCCACTAACTAACTTCCCGCCTCGGCCGCGGCCGGTGGCCGCGTCGCCGCCGTGCCTGGCGCTGGCGCCCCCGTCCCGGGATAATCATAGTCCGCCGCCATCGTCGTCTCCATCGCGTTCGATTCGCGGTTCATCTTGTTTCTAGTATTGCTGAATTTTGGGATCGCATTGCTGCCCCGTCGCTTTGTGTGGCTTTGGATTTGATTGCTCGGCGCAAATTTCCGAATACGATCGTCTCCTCCGCCCGCAACACTCCTCTAAGTGAAGAGTTCCTGTAGATTGTTCGAGCCACTGTTTTACGCCGGGGCACCTGGGTTGCTGAAACGCTGCCTTATCCGAGTGTTCTGTTGGTTCGCGTTGCTCGCGCTCTGTAACTGATAAATTCTCCATCGTTGCTTGCTGCTAGATTTCGGGTGTGGTTCATGTTGCTCAGTGGCCTAGCTACCGGATTTAGTGGTTTGAGCATATACGTGCAGAGGATTTGAGATCCTTGTTGAACAATGTGGCCACATACCTGAATCCATGTTTGCAGAAGTGAACAACGTAGAACACACCTTTATTCTTGAGGTCGATTCAGTTCACTGCAATGATCAACTTATCCTGATGTTAGATGTCTGTCCCGTTCCCGCCACGTTTCATGCTATTGTTTTGTCAGCTTGTAACTTTCTTTAATGGATTAGACGTCTAATGCACGGGGTTATTTGTGAAACAATTACTCTCCTGCAGTTGCATTTAATAATTAGATTTGTCAAAAGGTTGAGAAGTTATTGGTGTCTCTATTTGATAGAGAAGTGTCTTGGTACTGGCGTGTTTGATTTAATTTTGTCTATTCATTACTTCTCATCTCGAATGGAGTACTACCATGTGTCCGGTTTCAGGTTTGGAGCCCAGTGCTGAATTTTCACTGTAGCATCCAGTAAGGTGTTAACGATTTTTTTGAATGTTCGTTAGTGGTATGTAGGGATACTATAATCTACTTGTCAAAAATCTGAACTAGTGTTCACTTGAGCCATATTTTGTGCGCTCGATTTTATGTTTATGTGTTACTCAAGAACTGCAGTTCTAAATAAATTCCTTATCGTATGTGTAAATCAAATGATGATTTGAGTACTTCCAATTTCCTTGTGTATTCATGAATCATAATATAGTAATTCTCACGTAAAATTCACAGAAACTAGAGTGCAATCTATTTAGCCCTCTTACCTATGGCAATATTGTGTCAACATCTAAGTTTCATTAATTTATATTTTGAATTGTTATATGTTGCGTGAGGACTGCCACTGCAGTGACTCTGTGCCATATATCAAGATTAGTTGTAAAACCTAGTGATTTATGCATGGCCATGACACAAAGCAGTGGTGGTATTGTGTTATGATTGTTTGAGCCAAAGCTAATGAGTCATGTTAGTTAGCCATGTCACTGTAAAATTGGTATGACATGGTTTGAATTCCATGTTCAAAGATTATTTTTATGATCCCAATTTCTCATACTGCATCCAAACTGCTTCATCTTGTCTTCTAAAACAAGTTGACTTAATAATGTACGCAAAGTAAATCCAAAAGCAAATCACGATGATCACAACTAGAATGTATACCTTTTACTGTGGGCAAATGAAAACTTGGACTATAAATTCAAATGTCTAAAAAACACTCAATATACACTGCTTTAAATTCAATATTGAATCAAGTTGACTGATCTGCACATTGATATGTTAGGGCAAAAAATAGTAACGGTGGTAATGATGATCGGTAGAACTAACTGCTTGTTTAAATGATCCAGATTTTGCAAATATTGTGAGGATTGAGTTTCCTTTACTAGATGTGAGTAGTATCATTTTTTGTACCCTGTTAATTTATTTGTCTTATTCTTGTAGGCTGGTGCTTCATTGGAATCATTGGCTAAAGGAGCTGTATGCTTCTCCCATAAATTCACCCTTCCAGAACTGCAGGATCACTGGTATTCATTGCTATATGACTCGGGGACATCAACTCAAGCATCCGCTCGCATGGCCAAGTTTGAGATGGAGCTTTCAGCCTCCAATCCTGCTAAAGCATCTAAGCTTTTCAACCCAAAGGAAAAATGCTTTTCCCTGTACAAGCGGAAGATAGATAGTGTAAAGAATCACTATTATGCAATGAGAAAGAGAATTCGCCATGAACCATGTTTATCTGCTGATTTTTGTTATAGTATTGCACCCTGCTCATGTAATCCTGTTGATGGTAGTGGTTGTGCATGTGGAGACCATCATTTGTTGCACAAAGTTGATCCATCAGGAGCTGTTGTAGATGGCTATGGATTTATAGGTGGATGTGGCGCTAAGAGAAAACATGTACATTCCAATGGTAGTGGACAATACTCATTTCATGCAGAGCATTCTAACTCTGATGGCAGCATGGTAATAGATGGAAATAACAACCATGAAAGCCCACATGTCTGCTCAGATGTAGAAAAATTATATGGCTGTGACGACATGCAGAAGAATTCTCAGACCAGTGGAAGTAATGTAATCTCTACAAATAATAGGTCAGATGTTACTGATCAGTTTGACCGTGGAGCTAAAGGATCCAAGGCTCTACTGGGCATTCATCAAGATGGTGTAAATCTTGACCAATCTTCTGGGAATACCACAGGAAGATTTCTTGAGCCAGGCGCATTCAAAGCAATTAGTCAAAAGTGGTGTCTTCAGGAACCTAGCGTTCCTACTTGGAGTAAGGTCCTGGGTGTTAATTCATCTGATATGCCGACAGATATGCATAAAATTGAAGGAGAAACTCTTACGCTTTCTGATGACAAGAAAATGGAAACAAATAGCATTGAGGCACTTGCATTTCAGGCAAATTTGGATAGTGTAGTATGTGATTCTGGTTTAGGCAGTGCAATGGCACCAGAAGGTGGATTCATGCATTCCCACTTAAAGGGTTTCAGTCAGAAAGAAGACCTTGAGCTTCTCAGCAGTGATTTTTTCCTAGGTTGTGCAATGGAGATAAAAAAGGAAGATTTAGGGCCTCACCCCCCTGACGCAATCAACTGTGATGACCATATAGATCCTATCCAAAGAAACCAAATGTTGCAGATGTTTCTGGAGTAGACAGTATACCTGCTTCGTCAGAAGTGCTTTATCCTGAACATAATGTCAAGTGCATGTTGAACAAAGAAGATTCTGAAATCCCTATCAATGACTGTATACCTATACCTGGTCAGACCTCTTTAGAACCCACTTCTACCTTCGACCAGGATGCTCAGCATGATGCGCGTTCGGTTGCCAAACTGCTAAATATGGAAAATGGCCAACCTTCATCGCCACCACCACCAGTTAATCTGGAATCAGCCATCCTAAAGCAAAATGCAAATATGGTGCCTCTTAAGGAAGGTTGTGCTGTAGGAAGTGAGCTGCCACCTGGCCTGCAGGGTAACTTTGGTGGTAACAATGCAAACATGTGTATTTCAGCACTGCATTCTATTGATGGAGGTGAAGAAACAACTTGTGGTTTCATTAAACATGAGAGTTGTTATGATGTACAGAATTTGACTTTGGATAAGTCAATTCAAGTGTCCAATCAAATGAATTGCAAGCTTCTTTCTCATAAGCCCGGATTAGGCTGTGAAACTGCTATCCGAAGCTGTGAGTTGGCTTCTGCATTGCCAGATACAGAATTTCATGACCCCGTTCCAACCATTCTAACTACGGGCCAAGCAGAAGGATCTGACAGTGAGATTAGTGTTCCAAACTATTTTGACCTAGAAGCACTGGTACATATAGTTCTTTTCTTCATTTAGTTTACATGGTTTTATATGCCTTGGTGCTTATGACTTTCTCAAAAAAAAAAAATATATTGCAGATACTTGATCTGGACCTGATTCCATGGGATCAAGAATCTGACTTCATCCAACCGGAAGGTAAATGCATATGAATACCTGATATTCCATTGTTCATCTTTGTTAAATATCTTTTTAATTGGTCTTGTTGTTATCTTTTATGCTCTTAGTGAACCCTAATACTACGTTTTTCTGTTTGTGCTATTTGTATGATCAGTTTCAAGGTTTCAGTATCCTGAAAGCAGGAAGGATTTGATAAGATTAGAGAAAGGTTCCTGCTCTTATATGAACAGATCTATCATGTCTAAGGGTGTTTTTGCAATTCTTTATGGCCAACGCATGAAATACTACATAAGAGAGCCTGAGGTAATATTAAGCAATGATATTGTGAATCTTCATTGCATTATACTCCCTAAAATTTTTCAAATACATGTTATTTTAGATTGGCCACATAATAATAGTATCATTCGATTTGTTATGAGGACTTTCCAAAAGTTAGTAGTTTAGACTTGTTACCAACATTTTACTAATAAATTTTTAGTCAAACTTGTTTATTCGTATTATAGATATGTCATGTCCAAAGAGGCAAAGAATATCCCACGGGTGTATTCCCTGTTGTGAAAATTGAAGTGCTTAAGCATTTCTATTTTCATCAAGTGTTGTTGAAGTTGACAAGTGACATCACTTAATTGTTGGTTGTCAAACTCACCTGTTTTATTATTTTATTGCCTGATGAATTCTTAAATACCACTAGCAAAACAGAATGTCACCCTGCAGGTTAAAACCTTTCTCTACTGCTGATATGCTTTTAAAATACAACTTCTGTATCATTTTTATGCCATTTTGTAAAACTTTGCTTGGTCCTATTCTAATGCAGGTAAGTCTTGGGAGAGAAACAGAAGAAGTCCATGTTGATATTGATTTGAGTAAAGAAGGGAAGGCAAACAAAATATCCCGTCGACAGGTACTTGCTTGCCTTTTTTATGAGTTAAAAGGTGCAAAACAACCTTGGTTTGGTGGAAGCATTAATGCAATAACTGTAAGGAGGTTCTTATTATGTTTTTCAGGAGAATTTTTCCTTTTGTTAATAAGCTTGGGCTGACTGCTAAGGATTTCATTTTTATTTTCTTTCTTAAGCATGCGGCATGACCCTTTTGTAAAGTAACCTGCTGCTCTCCTCTGTGTGAACGCGCGGCAGGGACAGGCGCCGAAAGGGCTCCCTGCTGTTGCATTGTAACCGCGGCAGGGGCAGGTGCCGAAAGGCTCTCCTGCCGCACTGTAGCCACAGCAGGGGCAGGCGCCAAAGTCAGCCCTGCTGTCATATCTAGTCTCTGTAGCAGCATGGCAGCCTGACATGTCTGTGTACTAGGATTAGATGTGTAGAGTTATATTTATAGCTTCCCACTGCAACTCAGTAAAGTGAGCGAGTTCAGTTTTGCCATCTCCTCTGCAGAGCTCCAGCCAACGTTGGTGCTTGTGCTATGTGTGTGCGCTCTGTTCTCCCTCCCTTCTTCTACCTCTAGCCATAGTGTGGGTCGACAACACCGGTGAGCGGTCGGCTCACCCGTGCGGGAGATCCAGGGGCCAACAAGTGGTATCGAGAACCGTACAAGCGCCGTCGTCGGACTAACCGCTGGCGATGACGACGGTTTGGAGATGGGCGATAGCAACGGCGCTGCTGTGGCTGCCCAGCCACGACAGGAGGTCGTTGTGCGCACGGTGCGGGAGGTCAGTGGCACCAGTTGGCCGACGCTGACTCGCACCAACTATGGCGAGTGGGCGGTGACCATGAAGGTCAAGCTCAGAGTCCGACGGCTCTGGAATGCCATTGACAAGGGACAACAACGAAGAAGACATGTCAGCGTTGAAACCATCTTCGCTGCTGTGCCAGCGGAGTACAGGGAGCCGTTGGGGATGAAGAGCTCTACTTAGGAGGCGTGGGAGGCCATTGCGGCGATGCGCGTCGGTTCCGACCGCGCAAAGAAGGCGACGGCCCAGCTGCTGAAGCAGGAGTATGCCAACCTCAAGTTCAAGGATGGTGAGTCGGTGGAGGACTTCTCCCTCCGCCTGCAGTCGCTCATCAGCAAGCTAAGGAGCCACGGTGTCACCATCGAAGAAGAAGAGGCGGTCTCCAAGTACCTCCACTCCGTGCCGATGAAGTACATCCAGATCGCTCTCTCCATAGAGACAATGCTGGACTTGTCCACCCTCACCATTGAGGATGTGACAGCCGTCTGCGGGCGGTGGACGACCGCATGGAGCAGGCCACAACAACGACGGACAGCGGCAAGCTGCTGCTGACAGAGGAGGAGTGGGCTGCCCGGATGTTGAAGTCCGGGGAAGCCTCATCCAGCCGCGGTGGCGATGGCAAGCGCCGCGGCAAGGCTTCTTCGGAGAAGAAGAAGAAGAAGGTTGACCCCAACGCTGGCGGCGCTACGGGAAGATGGGCATTGGGCAAATGAGTGCCTAAATCGCAAGTAGGAGAAGAAGGCCGAGGCTCATTTAGCGCAGGCTGATGAGGATGATGAGACCACTCTCCTGATGGCAACGTTCTGTGCACTGCACGACGTTGAGGCGAAGGAAAAGGGAGAGGTGATGGTGGAAGGGCACGGCAAGGCTCTGAAGGCTGTTAACCTCGACGAACCGCGCGCCCAAGTCCACCTTGGGCGTGTGGGCGGCGAGAAGCTATACTCCGGCGCCAGCAACCACATGACGGGCTCCAAGGAAGCCTTCTCCGAGCTTGGTTTGGTGGAAGCATTAATGCAATAACTGTAAGGAGGTTCTTATTATGTTTTTCAGGAGAATTTTCCCTTTGTGTTAATAAGCTTGGGCTGACTGCTAAGGATTTCATTTTTATTTTCTTTCTTAAGCATGCGGCATGACCCTTTCTTAACCATTTCTCTGCTTCTGTACCTTCCGCTGCACTGTCTTTTTTCTTGGCATGGCTATACCCACTTGCCGATTTGGTTCTGCTTGGTGACATGGCTATAGCCACTTGATGTGATCTTTCTGTTTGGTACTCACAAATCCCAAAGGAACAGGAGGGCGCATACTGCATGCATTCTAGTCTGTTCGCTGCCGCCAAATTATGATGTTCAGTTATTAATGTGCTAGCTTACCTTCTACTTGCAATTCTGTATTTTCGATGTGCAGGCAGTTATTAAGATGGACGATGATGGATCTTTCTACATAAACAATATTGGGAAGTGTTCAATTTTCGTGAATGGCAAAGAAGTACCCTGTAGTAAACGTATCAACTTAATGTCAGACTCATTAATTGAGGTATGGCATTCCAATCCTTTCTTCCTTCTTATACTAGGAGTTCCAAATGACTGCTGTACTAAATATCCATGCCCTGTTTAATTCTATGTACTGGTTCATTTTTTTAATCTAACTTCGAACTAGTAAGCTGTAGAGCTATTTACTGTGCATATTTGTATGAAAAATGTGCTTTCAATTGTACTATAAGATTGAAGTAATCAAGCATTCATAGTCATTTCAGATATAGCTGGATGAGCGTATGGTTACTTTTTCATTTGTGGTTCCTTAGTTCACACCACACATGATATGATTGCACCTATCTATGTAACTGCATAAGGTGCTTAGGAAAACGCTAATGGGGAAAGTGAGTTGTAGCTGGAAAGATACAGTATGCTTTCCTTTTGCAACTTATTGAATATTTGATGCCACTCAGCTGTTGTGAATTAGTCTGGAGTTAAAATCAGGATTTTGCCATTTGCGATGTCTGTTGGCTCACATTTTAAATGAAATGTCACTGGAACCAGAGAGAAACTTTCATTTGGGATTCATGGATAATACTGCCTCTGTCTCAAAATATAAGCATTTCTAGTTTTGTTTAAGTCAAACTATTCTAAGTTTGACCAAGTTTATAAAGAAGAGTAATTACATCTATGGTATCAAAGAAGTAAACTACAAAAATATGTCACAATGAATCTAATAATGCTCATTTGATATTGTAAAAAAATATTGTTCTTTTTCTATAAACTTGGTCAAACTTAGTATATAGTTTGACTTAACAAACCCAGAAATGCTTATGTTGGGATGGGAGAAGTAATGTATAGCAATTGGATCTAGGTAATGTAATAATGGCTACTAGTTATGGTTCATTTGGTTAGTTTTGAACTAATGCTTCTACCCTACTTATTTCGCTGGTCAGGTAAACAATTCATGTAGCATTTTGAACTCTCACGAAGCTGTTTTTCTACTACCTACAGATAAGGAACCTGAAATTCATTTTTCATGTGAACCACGAGGCTGCAAGGAAGTACATAGTTCGAAAAAGGACAGGAAGCTCCCAAGGCGAGAACACAGCATTTGATTGGAGTCAGAACCCTTGAGTTAATGTTATGATCAAGGTTATTTATAATCTGCGATAGCTATATCTCTCTTCTAGAAAGCATTGGATTGGATGAGAGCAAAGTTATTTATAATTCCCTGTAGCTAATATCTCTCTCTTCCAGTTAGCACTGTTATCCATTTACCTTAGCTCCACTCACCATATGTAAATCCATGTTTATTCTTTGTTCTTGTGTTCTGATTACCCCAAACTATGTTTCTTCGGATGCGGGCTGCCATGTGCCATGGTTTTCTATTTGATTTCTTTTCTTCCCATAAAATCTTCATTACTGGAAAAAAGTAGCTTAGCTCGAGTTGGAATATTCAAAGATGACAACCGTAATACTAAAATAACTAATCTAGGGGTATGTTTCGATCAGAATTTCATTGAAAGGTTTCGGTACTAGCTCAAAATTTGAACTAATCACCATACATTGCATTGAACTCTTTGTTCAAACATGCCCTCTAGATTTACTTTTGTTGTCTAGGGTTTTTCGCACGCTGCCAATCTGGTTATATTATTTAGAGTCTAGTCTGTTTTGTCTCAACTTGTTGCTTAATTTAAAAAACTCCCCTAAACTCACACACTCAAAACCAGATAAATTACCCCTCCTAAAATTTTGGAGTTACTTTAAAGGGTGGTTTTGCTAATGTGGCATGTAAATGATATATGACTCCCCATGTCATTGGTCTTTTAACCATGTAACTTTTTTATTGAATATTTGAGCTCTGCCAGTTAAAAAAATTCAACTGGAAAGCTCTAGATCTTGTTTTTTTTTTGATGAGAGCTCTAGATCTTGTTGAGCACTACTACTTTTGTGTAGATTGTTTCACCATTTGAAGTAATTTAAATATTTGAATTTCAAAATATGACAACTCTATCTAACCGAATATTTGGGACTCCAAATGATCTCAAATAAAATAATTTTCAAGTACAAATTTGTAGTAGGGTTAAGAGCTACAGGTTGGTATAGATCATGTCATATTCGAGATCATTTTAAAAATTCAAAAAATTGAATTAAAAATTTGGTAACTTGAATTGAAATGAATATTTGAACCTCTAAACGATCTTAAATTTGATAAAGCCAGGACAAAGAGCCACAACACTAAGCACCGTGGCACGCCAAAGAGAGATAACACAATCACCTTCTTGACAATCCCTATCTTAACAGTAGACGATAGAAGTTTATCTGGCTTTGCAACAACAATCAACACCCTGTCAGCCTCGTCAAAGGAAGGAAAAGCATGCTCAACATCGGAAAGGGTAAAACAACCAATGACCATAGGCTGTAAGGAGTAGATCTAAGTTTGCAAAAACTTGATGAGACCGAGCTGATCGACCAAGAGCGACATGTGAACCTGAGCCATGCTCAGACAAAGAATGATCTTCTTGTGATTTCCATTGAACTCTAGGCGATGGAAGTTTAATCGGCACCTCTGGCTCCGCGGCAACATCCAACACCTTGAAAACTCAACAATTAAATGAAGAGCACGCTCGACACTAGAAGGATCAAAGCAACCAATGACCAAAGGCTATAAGGAGCATATCTAAGCCTTCAAAAATGCGATGAGATGAGCTTATTGACTAGGAGCAACTTGTGATCTAGATCCATACTTAGACAAAGAATGACTTCCCTAGTGATTTCAACGGGATCTTGACTAGAGGATATCCATCCAACAATGGCGACAACGATAGATCTACCACTTGCTCCCACTTCAAGAAAACCTGATCATCAACCATAGGTAAAGGGTTTATCGTCCCCGCCATCCTCAACGATGGAGATAGTTAGAGAGGTGGGAGCTAACGATGATGGAGGACGAGCGGAATGCTGATGAGGACTAGCGTAGGAGCTCCCTGTGAGGGGAGGTGGTGATGGTGACAACCAACATTTAGGCAACTACCAAAGATCAGGATCTGAGTGGGTACCCCAACGATGGTGGGTCCAACATCTCCAATATCTATATATCACCACCCTCAACGTAGCGACAAAAATGGTATGCCCTAGATCTAAATCTCGAGGTCCACCTAGCGGTGTCATGACCATCTCCCACACGTTGTTGGTGATGATGGGCAACTGGTGTAGTGTATTAGGATCTAGAGAAGGGCGCACTGAAGATCTAAGCTACCAAGGATTCACACCATCGGACGAGGGGTGAGACAGGGGTTGTGCACGGGGTGGTGACTAGAAAGTGAGGCTTGAGGCGTTGGAGATGGCCTATGCGCAAGAGATGTAGCTAGGTTCATCGGTGGTGACTACGGCGGTGGCAAGGACAGGGCGAGTGGAAACCCCAAGAGCACTCACTGCATCACTACCTCATAGCTAAGGTCCTCCATCCTGGTTCTGAGTTATCCTAAGTGAACTATCATAGGTTTGATGAAGGTCTATAGAGAAGAGTATTAACATCTACTACATAAAAGTGATAAATTATAAAAATATATCTCATAATATATATAATGATGTTCATTTGATATTATAAATATTATTATTGTTCTTTCCTATAAATTTGGTCAAATTTAGAATAACTTACAACAAACTTATAATTCATTATATTTTAGTACATATGTAGTAGTCAATTATAAGAAACTCTAAGTTGAGTTTTAATATTTACAACCAGAAATGCCACTTCATTTTCTATACGTCGAGCATTATAACTTTGATGAAGTTTATAGAAATATGCATTGATGTCTCCAATACCAAATAAATGCAATCTCAAGACATATTGTATGGTGGATTAAATGAAACTAGTTTGGTGTTGTAGATGTTGGTCCATATTTATCTAGACTCAGTGAAAATTAGATAAGTTTAACTTAAAACAAAACCAAAACCACTCTAGGCGTGTTATAGTATGTACCGTTGTTTCTCATTTATTGTTGTCGCTGAAAACTACTGTCGTTGGATTTTGTTGAGAAAAAAGAAATCTCCCAACAGAATAACAGAAAAGAGTCTTAACAGAAATCTTGTTGAACGAGTTTTGGCAGCAGCGCCAACGCCCACACATCACAAACCCTCCAGTTTTTGTTTGTCCCACCTGTCAGTCTTCTGTATAAGTGCCGAAACGCGGACTCCAGGTCCCGTCCCGTCTACAGCGACAGATTCCTTGGCGCGCTGAGCCGCTGACGCGCTCTCCTCGGACGGTCAACCAATTCAACACCGCCTCCGGCTGCCACGTGTGTCGCGCCTCCGTCCCCCGCACCGGTGAACACGCCACGGCGCCCGCCGGCGGCGACACCATTCTCGCGGTCCACGATGACGGCACCGTCCACTGCGACTCGTTGGACGCCACCGCGACGCGGGAGGTCCGGTACCGGGGGTGGAAGGCGATGCCGTTCGTGATCGGGAACGAGACGTTCGAGAAGCTGGGCAGCATCGGCACCGCGGCGAACCTGATGGTGTACCTCACCTCCGTCTTCCACATGACCAACGTCCGCGCCGCCGTGGTGCTCAACGTGTTCGGCGGCACCACCAACCTCGCCACCGTCTTCGGCGCGTTCGCCTCCGACCTCTGCCTCGGCCGCTACGCCACCGTTGGCTTCGGCTGCGTCGCGACACTCATCGTACGTAAGTAACTGGCATCGCCAACGAACTTGATCTGCAGTTAGCTGCGGGCGGCTGAATCTTGATTTTTGGTGTGGGAACTCTTTCTGATCTCGATCTCGACGGCAGGGCATGATCATCATGACGCTGACGGCCGGCGTGCAGCGCCGGCGCGGGCGGGCAGCAGTGCGCGGGCGCGACGGAGGAGCACCTCGCGGTGCTGGCGCTGTCGTTCTTGTTCATCGTGGTGGGCGCGGGCGGCATCCGGCCGTGCAGCCTGCCGTTCGGCGCCGACCAGTTCGACCCCCGCACGGAGTCCGGCCGCCGCGGGATCAACAGCTTCTTCAACTGGTACTACTTCACCCTGACCATCGCCGTCGTGGGCTCGTCGACGGGGATCATCTACGTGCAGAGCAACGTGAGCTGGTGCGTCGGGTTCGCCATCCCCGCCGCGCTCATGTTCGCCTCCTGCGTGCTCTTCTTCGCCGGCGCGGGGCTCTACGTCCGCGCGCGGCGCGAGGGGATCCCCTTGGCCAGCGTCTTCCGCGTCGCCGTCGCGGCGGTCCGCAAGCGGCGCGCCCCGGAGCCAGAGGACCCCGCGGCGTCCCTCTTCAGGACGCGCCACGCGAGCTCGCTCGTGTCGAGGCTCCCCTACACCGACCAGTTCAGGTTCCTCGACATGGCCGCCGTGGTGGTGGACTCCGACAGCGAGGTCGACGACGCCAGCGGCGGCCCCAAGGACCCGTGGCCTCTGTGCAGCCTGCAGCAGGTGGAGGAGGCCAAGTGCGTCCTCCGCATAATGCCGGCGTGGGGCACCTGCATCGTCTACTACGTCGCGTTCGCGCAGACCAACACCTACGTCGTCCTGCAGGCGGCGCAGGCCGACCGCCGCCTCTGCCCCGGCGGCGGCTTCGAGGTGCCGCCGGCGTTGTTCACCATCTTCCCCATGCTGGCGCTCGCCGTGTGGATCCCGCTCTACGACCGCCTCGTGGTGCCGTGGCTGCGCAGGCTCACCGGCGTCGAGGGCGGCGTCACGCTGCTCCAGCGCATGGGCGTGGGCATGGTACTCTCCGTCGTGGCCTAGCTCATCGCCGGCGTCGTGGAGCAGCGCCGGCGCGAGCTCGCCGTGCTCCACCAGGCGGAGGCGAACCGCGAGCTGCTCTCGGTCACCCTCGTCTTGCCGGCGTCGGCGTTCTGGCTGGTGCCGCAGCTGGCGGCGCTGGGCCTCTCGGAGGCGTTCAACCAGGTGAGCCAGATGGAGTTCTACTACAAGCAGTTCCCAGAGAATATGCGCAGCGTCGCCGGGTCGCTCCTCTTCACCGGCCTGGCGCTGTCCTTGTACCTCAGCGGGCTTCTGGCCGGTCGTCGTAGTGCACCGCGCGACGGCCGATCCCGTGCTGGGAGACGACGGGTGGCTCGCCGAGAACCTCAACAGGGGGAAGTTGGACTGGTTCTACTTCCTCATC